ATATAATATGCGACATTTTTTGACCGCATGACCAAAAATTACGAAAACTGGTCAGATGAAAATCTTTGTTACTATGCCCAAACATAGTTAATCAAAGATTACGAAGCTCACCTCGACGAATGTTATCAGTTTTAATAATACAAATCTCATATTATATTTTCTTAATAGTTTGTATGCATCTTGATAACAATATCAATGCAAGTTCTGTTTAAGTAGGTTTTAAAGTTCATTGGGATGTGACCTGTTCCAAAATCACTGATCAAGAAAATGTTTTTTTCCCTCTACATCCAAAGCAAGTCTGCTATTGTCAATCCCTAGATGCGTCATCTATGCAAGTTAAATCATAACAGGCCATAAAATTACAAATATACTCCAAAAACATAAGCCAGGTCACTCGTCTGGAAAATGTAGGTCAGATCCAGCATCTAAAGCAAGTCTGGTAGTGTCCATCCCTAGATGCATCACCCATGCAAGTTTGGTCCATGCAGGTAAGACCTATAGTTACTTGAGAATGGACCTGCTCCAAAATCTCTAACCTGGTCACTCATCTGGAAAATGTAGGTCAGATCCAGCATCCGAAGCACCTCTGGTAGTATCCATCTCTAGATGCATCATCCATGCAAGTTTGGTCTAGGTAGGGCTGATAGTTACCTGGGAATGGACCTGCTCCAAAATCTCTAATCTGGTCACTCATCTGGAAAATGTAGGTCAGATCCAGCATCCGAAGAAAGTATGGTAGTGTCCATCCCGAGATGCATCATCCATGCAAGCTTGGTCCATGTAGGGCTCATAGTTACTTGGGAATGGGCTTGCTCCAAAAACTTAAACCTGGTCACTCAACGGGAAAATGTAGGTCAGATCCAGCATCCGACGCAAGTCTTGTAGTATCCATCCTCTAGTTTATACATTGCCTAGGTAAGGACAAAGGCAAATCGGGTTGCTGTGCAGTTTCTTGTAAATTTGTCCAGCAAAGAACGTCTTACCCGTGGCCAGAGAGGGCCTGGAATGGTTTCCAACCAACCAAGAAGACGCGTAACAGAGCTACGTTAAGTTCGGGTTATTAATCCTGCCACCTGTTTAATCGCCACCTTAATACTACAAAAACTGCTATTTTAAAATACAATAAGCCATCATAAACATTACATCCACCCTAAAACTGAAAGAAACCAATTGTGCAATTTGACTTTTTGAGATGATCAACTTTACGTTGGTGTTCCTCTCACTAGCGCATGCGCGCGTCGTTTACCTATTTTTTCAGCTTGGTTACTCCCGGCCAAGTGTGACCAGGGTAAGTCAAGACTATCTCGCAAACAATCACATTTACCACCTCGATTGGCCTCCGTAAACTCCATCTTTTTTCTCAATGAACATCAGTGGGACTAAGTTGATGAAAGGGTTTGAAATACCAAAGCTCGTCACTTTCAGCTATGGGCTGCCTTGATGAAAGGTTTGAAATATATCCATAATTGACGGACAACACTCCATGCAAAGGAGAATCAAGGCTGTAACAGATGCGCGAGGGAGACATTGAAGATTTTAGATTTTCACATTCAGGGGTATGGTCATAATATTTTTTATAACTCGTGAATTATAAAGTAAATTCAAATGGAATTTTGGTTACATTTTCTTTAAGATGATTTTAAACGTAAAATTGGAATACAGAAAAACACAAAAGGACAAATAAACTTATTTCAACTGAAAAGTTTACCCTACGTTTCTTTTTCCTTTCAATATATTTACCATCGGAAAAAGGCATGGTGGCATCGCAATTAGGCACAGTAGTGCTATGACGTAATAAACGTTTATTGTTTTCCTCACCACCGGACTTTGGCGTGTCACACCATCAGGGCTTGGCGCAGACAATCGAACTTTGGCGTGACAGTCGGTCTTTGGAGTTCCATAGTACTTTTGCTAATACAAATTCCAAGGGGTATGCTGTTTTCCCTATTTAACAATTTCGATTAATTTGCAATGTATGATTTTGTTATCAATGGCGTAAGTTAAATGCAAACATCTTAAAGTTAAATACCGACGAAACTTAAAGTATTGACAATCAAAAAGTTGATTTTTAAAACCACAACATGATAGGTTTTTTAAAATCAAATTTCTCCCTCATTATGAATGCCTTATTATTATTACCTTAATCATTCATCTTATACACTCCCCAACCATTAACTTCCCCTCCCCAATAAAGGCGACATCGCGTGGATTCTGTATCCCCTTGTCGGGTATAATGTGCCTCAGAAATTGACCATCCTTGTTCAACATATGAATCTTGAAGTTGAGAAAATAATTGCTGGGGATGCGATGCATTTCTTCTTTGGTAAGAGAACTGTGCCTGATCGTTTTGTTCCCTGTATAAGAGAACCTGAGTATTCAAAACTTGTCAAGGACTGTAACAGCCTCCTTTTCCCAGTCAATCTTGCATAATTATAATGTAAAATATTGATTCAATAAAAGAAATCGAACTCAGAAGAGAGGTTAACCTCTTTTTTTTAAATGTTTATTTTTTGATTTTGCACTCATGAAATGTGTTAATCAAACATGAATTATATCAAAAATAAGCAATTCATTTACATAATAAAGGAAAGACAGTTTTAAAATAAGAAGCTTTAAATTGGATGACGGAGAGATTAAAATTAAAAATATGGTCGAAAGAATTAGTAATGCCATAAAAAGTTATTTGGCTTCGCTGTTATGAAAGCATAGTTAGTAATAAACACTTTCAAAACACTGACAAACTCACTTAAGCTTCACGAAAAATTATTTGCAAATTATGTGTTAAATATTAGAGAGGTATTTTAACTGAGTGGTCAAGGTGCTATAGACCGCGTGAGAAATGAAGAGAAAATAGATTTTGGGAAACTTTCACAGTGTTGCTTTTGATGTTACAATGTTGTGAATCGTGCAAAGCATTACTTCCATTCAATCAGTTGGAAGGGAACCTTACAAGATGATAAGATATTTCTTTTTTACATTTGGGGGTGGGTGTGTTGTACATTCTTAAAAATAATGTTATAGTATAAGATAGTATATTGTTAATATCGAGCGCTGCTCGCGAATCGAGATCAATAGACTAACGTGTAAGAATAGAGGAAATTCGGAATGAAATATGTACATACGTCAAGCAAATTTTTGTGGGAGACCTTCCCAGAATTCCTTTGCTTCCAGGATTTCATGCGACAATGACGAATAAATAAATAACAGAAAACATAAAGAAACTTTCGGTTTGTAGAAATCTTAAAAGAACCCAAAAAACTTCACAATGTCTTTCGCAAAATTGCACCAGATCTATTATAGTTTCAACCAGACGCTGGGCTGTCTCCGTAAACACTGACGAGCTTCGTTACGTCATGTGACGTCAGAGTCTAGATGTCTCGTGCGACTTGATGTTTGATGTGGCGGATCAACGTTTCAAGTGTATTTTTTATGGTACAACTGCGCTCGCCCCAACAGTCACACCGTAAAACATATTAAGTAGAAAAAAATATGATTTATTTTAATTGGATAATTTGTGGGATAATTTTCTACCCATCGAGCCTCCTTAACGTAGAACCTACATCCTACGACGTACTGGGGCCGGTCGTCACTGCGAGCTCTTAAAGCAATGCCTTGGCAAAGAGAAAATTCGGACTTTGCACATTGATCCAAACGATTTCTTTCCGCAGTTACTTCTGGAAACACAATGCATCGCTTGTTAAATAACGTTCTCGCAAGAAAACAAGAAAAGTTCAACAAATAATAATCTTACCTTGATTTAATGAACATATTGCTGAAAAATAGTCAATAAAACGGATCTTCATTAAAATCAGCACAGTTCAGGTTTCGGTTTGGTAATGTTACTTACATACGGCGTCATGTGACATCAGAGTCTTGACGCACCAAATGTCACGAGTCCGACCTAAATTAGTACTGAATACGAGTATCTGCGCTCGCTCTAACGGTCGCACCGTCAACATATCAGTAAGATGGCGTGAAGCGCCGCTCACGTAGCGAGCTCCATAGACAACGTGTATGAACGGAGGAAATTCAGGCTGAAATCTGCAAAATATTCAAAAAAAATTCTATGAGCCCACGTGAAAAATTCCAAACACCACTAAGCGGTGCATAGCAACATAACTAAAGCATAGCAACAACTTACTTGAAAACAGTAACAAACAACGATTTAATGTATTTTCCATGCCACAAAACTATCGTTTACATCCTCAGTAAACATGACTTTGTACGTGACGTCTCATTTTCGTCACTTCAACGACTTCGGTATATTCGATTATGTCGGGAAAATCCAAGAAATTAGGCATCTCGATCCCGATGCATCGGGAGTCGGCAACATCGGCTTGAAATATACGATACGCAGTAAATGCATGCTTGATGAGTTTCCTGAAAAATGTAATAAGAATAATGTAAAAGGACAATTGAGAAGGTGTGTAGAGTTGAACAAAAATGAACTGCGTTCGCCCTTACGGTTCCACCGTCGGACATATTAAGTTAACGAATCCAAGACAGACTCAGGTAATGAAAATACACAAATATGATAATGTTCATGAAATGCTACTAGAAGTATTTTGAAGGATGTTAAGGATTTTGTGCATAAACAGACAAACATATAAACAGAAAAAAAACAGATCGAGAGACAGACGGAGAGGGCAAAAAAAAAAACCATGTACCCAGAATCTTCGATTTCAGGGCAATAAAATCACTATCAACATCAATAAAACTTGCTTATCTACATACAATGAAACTGTAAGTTCAAACAGAAATAATCTAGAAACATGTCGATTTTGTTTGCTAGTCCAATTCAAGTTCACATTAAAGTTCTGTTCATAAGTACAGAATTCAAATAATTAAATAGTCCATGTGGTAATTCATTATGCAAGTCTAACTGCAAATATGTATTCTAAAAAAAAAAAAGAGAGACACCAATCATTGCAGACAAAACGTATTTACATTGACGTATCAAAATCAAATCATAAAGCCTATTTTGCCTTCAAGTTTTATTCTTAGGCTAGGTACTTTATTCTCTTGATTATTCCCGTTATACACTCCCCCACCAATAACTCCCCCTCCCTAATGACACACACGGCACGCGGATTCTTTATCCCTTGATCAGGAATGATGTACCTCAGGAATCGACCGTCCCTGTCCAGCATGTGAATCTTGTGGTGAAGGAAGTCATTGATGATGATGTGATGCATGCTGTCTGTTGTCAGGGAGCAATATCTAATTTCATCCTTGGTTGCTTTGTTCCCTGTGTAAGAGAACCTGAATATTCCGAGATTGTCAACAACTGTGACGGCATTTTTATCCCAGTCAGCTACACAAATGTCGCCGTTTCCATTCTCCACAGCGTAAACTGCTCTTTTAAACAGAGGCTGGTACTGGGAATCGTACTGGATTTCTTGCAGCACGTCACCGGAACTGCTGTATCTTACAATTTTGGAGTCTGTTTTGTCTGTCTTGTAGAGACAGACAAGGAGGTCCCCTGCCCCGGTGCAGGCAATGCCATAAGAATCCCACTCTCCGATAAAGAAACACGTATGATCTATACTTTCTTTTAAACTATTGACAGACTTTTTAGTATAATCGATGTACACGACGTTTTCATTAAGATGAGTCAAGTGTAATCCTATATCGTTTTTGATGAGAGTGTCTTGAAGACGTCCTTGGACATCAAACAACTTGACCTCTTTACTTTCTCCTCCTGCCCAGAATCTGTCGTCACTGATGGGAACCACGGCATAAAGGCGGTTATTGTTTGTTTTATTAGCTGGAAACCCTGTGTCAATGGTAGACAGAACTATAGGTACATCTAGTACTGAGAGCTGTGATGAGAGTTTATCTCCTTGTGTCAGGTTGTCAATAGTTAACCTGTGCGATGCAATTGTCTCTATGTGACCTAAGTACGATGATGTTAAACTTTCATTCATCATGCAAGGTTGAAAGAATGCCGGGCGTATTTCTTCTATGAAAGTTGGTACTTGTTGATTTTCAATTTCAAGCTTAAGTTTCATTAAACCAGAAACATCTTTGGATTTTGCTAAGCTGAAAACTTTTTGTTTTAGGCTTTTAAATTTCTTTTCGATTTTTTCAAATTCTCGCTTCTTCTTTAATAATTCATCAGAGTGTTTTTCTTGCATATGATCTAGGTCTTTGTGCATTGCCTTCTCTGTTTTATCAATATCCTGATGCCTCTCTCTGGCAAAGGAAGAAACGTTGCTTTTTGTCTGTTTGTATACTTGTGGGAGTACCGCCGATCTTGCAATGATATGAGCAAGAACTGTTTCAAATTTTGATCGCATGGACTGTAGCTGTTTGTTTTTTTCCGTGATAAAATCAGATAATATGCCGACTTTCTCGGATAATTCGCAAGTGTCATGTTCTTTGTGCTTGATTGTTAAACACAGGACACAGACAGGAATATCACATGTTTTGCAAAAAGAGCAACACTGTTGCTGGGGATGGACAAGGCACTCTCCAACCTCCGGATTGCTTTGTTCATTATATTTTACAACATTATGTCCATTTTCTGATTTGGAAAGCAGGTGTGGTCCTACACATGTGGTGCATAGGTTCACAAAACATCTTTTGCATTTGAAGTTTATAGGATTATTACAAATGTCGCATTCTATGTAGTATTGTCCTTGATTGAGTTTTGAGGAGGCCATCTTTTTAACTATATTTTAAAAAAGTAATTTTGTTATAAATGAATTTATACAGTGAAACCTAACTATGCTTTGGGACACAAAATTGTGTCTTTATAGAAAGGTTTCGGATTAAACAGCGTTAATAACAAGAAAAACAGTAAATTTGGAATCAAGTTAAGTGTAACAAATTGCATGATTTTCAGTTATACTGTTATAAGAATGATTATTTTTCAGAAAATATGCGTGACAGTTATATGAAGAAAAGTAATTTAATACATTTCTGGCTTTTCTGCTCATGATTTTGGGCTATGCCCACACTCAAACACTTAAGAGATAAATCGTTTTTGCTCCGTTTTGACCTCTTTGTTTTTTATCCTTTCATTTTGTTATTTATTTAAACTAATTTTACAACAGTAATATTTTCATCAAATTACTCCGCCTTGTAAATACGTAAAATAATAGGAGCCAGAATACTTTTATTTTTTTTAGAAAGAGGGAGACGGAAAGGGAGGCACCTATATGCATTAAATAAAATTTTTAGAAAGGAAAAAAAAAAACATATTGTCCAACTACACACTACATCTGTGCTTTTTTTCTTTAAGTCTAAGTATATTTGTGAACTGAGCTACAAAATTTGCAATCGTGAACAAAATTTTATTTTTTAATTAAAATTACAAGTATTTCTGTAAAGTGAGGTCGCCAAAATACAAATAAGTCTTAGACAGTCTTAATTTTGCTAAAAAATATTCCATTTTTAAATACCTATTTCTCCTTTCTATGGATTCGAGATTTTTCTCTTTTTTAAGTTTATCACTTTCTATTTCATAGATAATTTGATTCCCCTTGTTGTCTTCTTCAGTGATTTTTTTATTTGTTTTTAAATACTATCAGTCTTTAATTCGTTTAGTATAAATCTTTTTCTATATGCCATTGTTACTTTATGCAAAAAGAAATATACTCTTTTTTCAATTTGTTTAGAAGATTAATTAAAAATGTAATACTAGTATTTAAGAATATATATATATATAAACACCTTTTGAAATTAAATAAATTATTTGTTACAAACCTCCTCGCAATTTATCCCCAACTACTGCCGATATGTTTTTAAATTATCTGGCCAACAGGCGAAGCGGATCATTAATCAGTTGAAATAAGGTCGAAAAGGGGTACCTGCATATACATGTAGTTTATAATTTACAAGTAAAAAATTCCAAAACTGCATCCTCAATTTAGAATTTGCATTATATCATTAACACTATAATAATATAACTTAAATATAAAATTCGTTTAAATATTAAAAAACGTAAACTTTAAGTTACATGGACCCTTTCGTCGCCCCTCGTACCCCAATTGAGCAAAGGGAATGTAACTTCCCGTGCAGATTAAGAGTACAAAATACGTATTCGATACCCTTACCCTAAAATATGTCCCTTAATTATAAATGAAGTATTCCTAAACTAATACCCCAAGTATAATGTTTAGTATCTACCTAACCAGAAATATAAGGATAAATCTGACAGAAGTTTTGAAAATTTTTCTAATCATGATATTCTTTCAAGAAATAAGAAAGTCCATTCTTATCACATATACCTTTATGATGGAGATGGGATGTAAATGTATTTATGATCATATACATGAATCTACTCAAAGTTTCAGTTAGATGTTCGTGATCGGGGGTTCTAAATTTCGATTCTTGGTCCCGTCGTAACCCAAGACGTTTAAACACGTACTAAGATTTTCTTAAAGGGTCCAGCGCTTTCAGTAAATATCATAATTCTTTTGAATGAAATTTTAAAAACTGTTGTCCTTAATACGGTAGACTTTGGCATGATAGTGTTCCCTCACTGTTCACTGGGAGCCCTGAGTGCCAATGGAAGGTCTAAATTTGAAGTCCTTTACCAGTATGTTATGACGTCTCATAAGAATGAAATATTCTTGCAAGGGCTGTTCTTATCAATCAACGTACATAAAATGAAAAAAGGAGTTAATGGAAGCAGGTCTTCGTAGAAAAACATTATTTTTGACCCCCATTTGACAACCATGATGAAAATTCCGAATCTTATTGCATGTTTTCAGAGCATCAATAATTATCTTCCAAAAGATGATTAGGTTACTGCGTAAAATGTAAAAGAGTATACTGGAAACCTGGTTATTGTCCCCATCTTGCCCAAGATAAAATTGAAAATTCCAAAACCCTTAGGACGGTTCAAGGTACATTGTACCAACAATAACATCGCACTTTCTTTAAAAGTGCTGGTATAAAAACTGTTTTTCAAGGTACACATGAACATTTCTCTTTATTGTTTAAACACCCACAGTAAATACACATAAGTTCTATTTATAAAATGTCACTCACTCTTAAGTTCTCTTCGATATTTGGGATGTTGAATTGGTTATTATAGAAATGGTATCATGGATTTGATCGTGGATTGCTTTCAAAAGGGTTAACTTTATAAAATCAAAGCTTTTAAGATGTCTAAACACAGGACTATTATGCCATGTAAATATTTAAAAAATATATAATTTTGTATATATATTCCTAAAATTGCTTTTTGTTGATGTAAAAAAAAATATTATACAAAGGCAGGTAGCCAACTATTACACACAATACCCCACATGCATTCTTTTCCTATGAATATCAAACGACGCAGTTCAATACCTCTTGATAGTACTGGTATCTAACGAATATTTGTATCCTTGATTTGCATATTATACTGGAAAAGAATATATTCTATGTCACATGACATTTGCACAGTGGGTCAGGAGAGGAGAGACGTGATGTAGAGTTCACATCTTGTTCAATGTTGTTATAAATTTATTTACTAAAATATATATTATACTTATCTGTAGATCTTGATTTAATGCAATAATTGAATAGTGAATGCAGTTTTGGAAACTAATGTATTAATTATAAGCTGTATGTATGCACCCCTTTAAGAGACCCTATTTAAATTAATTAATGATCCGTTTTAGTGGTTGGCTGGGATAGGTAAGGAGTAATCTGCTCAAAATGAAGAATTGATTGCAAAGGGGTAGGTAGCAAATGATTTAATAACCTTAAATGCTATAAAATTATCATTTGAGATTTACTTACGCAAATACTTAGAATTTGTTTACAACTTAATTGAAAATTGTCTATATTTCTCACTGCATTGTATGGGGGAACTATTGGTAAATCATGCAACATAACATATCTAGGAAAACTAGTATATTATCACGTCTCTACGTGACCAAAAAGTGATCAGAATCCCAAATTTTCATGAAAATGATTGATTATTACTGATACTGCGCTGTTCTTGCTGATACATACTGAGATAATTACTGTTGTTGGTTATAATTATACCCGGTAGTTGTTTCTGATAAATACTAGTAACTATTGTCGTCTTTAGTGTTGAATTTAATAAATAATGTTGCTGAGCTCTCTATGCTGAGATAACTGAGAATCACGGTGCTCATTGTTCTCAAGCTGAAAACGTGCAAAAGTAGAGCAGAGGGCTATTGAAACCGGTAACAGTCGCCTGCGTGGTGCAGTGGTTAGAACGTCTGCTCTAGAGTACGAAGTAAGGGGCTGATCCTTACGTCTCAGGTTCGAATCCCACTTTGGGACGTGGAGACCGGTCCTTCGGGTGAGACCGTTTAAACCGAGGCCCCGTGTTACAGTAGGTGTTGGCAGGAAAAAGATCCCTCACTGCTGAATAACAATGAGTGCCGAGTATATACTAGTATAGGGGGTGTGTTCCCGTTTTGCACACATTTGTAATTAGGTATAGAACAAAAAGTGTGAAGTGTGTTTTTATAGCAATTATAGTCTGATTTCTGGTTTGGATTTACCTGGATTTACCTTTGAATACCTGATTTAGCTTAATGTATTCTTAATACAATTTTATAAACATTTTGTTAAAATTCTATATATATTTATGGGAAAATATTTGATTTTATTGAATACAATATTAATATTTATTTCATATTATTTATTAATTAAGTCCAATTTCTTTAAAAAAAAATCAGTCTTGATAGGTGTGAAGTCTTGATAAAATTCTCAATGTATTTATTCTCTTACTTTTTCAATACAACTTTACCTTCCACATACTTATTAAGTATGGTATAGACTATAGCAATTAAGTAATTATCTCACCTGGTCAAATTCCCGTTTTCACACATTTTTTAATTACCTGTAATTAAAATGTGTGCAAAACGGGAACAAACCGTATAGGGTGTCTTCTACCTATTCCCACTTTTTAAGAATTTCAATTCAACCTATTCCCACTTGCAAAGAACAATAGATGTTTAGATAGTTAATTTGTTTTTACAGTAATTGACTAATTACACTCCTTCTTAGATTTATCTGTATTTTGTACATTTTAAGACAGAAAATAACGAATAAATTTAATGAAAAATATGAATTATTTCAATGAAAAATATGGATTTGAGAAAATAACAAAATAACGAATAAATATGAAAAATATGAATTATTTCAATGAAAAATATGGATTTGAGAAAATAACAAAGAAAAAAAGCACTTTCATATCTTAATTCTAGAACATAAAATAAATAGATTTATCGGGGAAGGGGGGCATTGAAATTATGAACATTGTAAAAAAGGATTTAATTCACTTATTTTTCTTTCAAATATTATAGTAAAAAAGTCAGATTTATAATTCTAAAAAGTGAATATACTGGTCCTCTATTCCAACAGGTATTCATTAATAATTGTGGATCATTGTTTACATAGTAATTATGTGTTTTCATAGTTAATTATTTGTTTACACAAAAATTCCACCTATTCCCACATGAAATCTTACCTTTTCCTACCTGATTTTCAAAAAGTGGGAATAGGTAGAATAAACCCTAGTATAGGACAAAATTTGCAGCTCTCCGGTCTGAGAAAGTGGTGGCGTCTCCATATGAGTGAAAACAATAAACTCCGAAATGCTTGCACAAAAGTTCATACTATCTCTTCTAAGAATACACTAGGTATACATGTAAGATGATGTCCGTAAACTATATTCAGATGTCACTCG